ACATGTCAGTGCTGGAATGAACCTTGGAGGTCCCTGACCTTGTACACGAGAAAGCTGAGGCCCAGAGAAGAGAGGGAGTCGTCTGACATCACATGGAGTGAGGACAGAATCCAGACCTCCTGATAGACAATGGGCCACTTTCCAAGTCACCAAACCAGTTTAGAACATACAGATGCCCCCCCCCCCAGCATGGCATGTACCATGTTCTTGCTCCTCAAGCAGCCCCTTGACTCCCTGGGTGGTCTCTGTCTTGGTCCCGAGGCTGGGTGTCTCAGCCCCTTGGGCTTGGACAACAGGAGCCGCGCTCTTGCTCTAAGACCCTCACTTGGGCTGACCTGGTTGTGCTTCGTTCCCCCTCCCACTGCGTTCCCCTGCCCTGCGCTGCTCCCTTCAGTCCAGCCCAACCGCGCGCCCACAGGAAGCACTGGGTGATGGCCGCCCAAAGAAAAGGCCCGTACAAGCTGGGGAAGATCTCTCTGGACAACATGTGAGGAGCCCCTGGGTGGTGTTAACCCCCTTCTCATCAAGTTTCCCACCTCAAACTTTCATTCACCCATCAAGCATTTTTTGAGCACCTATTAAGAGCTTGTTGCCAAATCAGCATGAAGGGTACTCTTTTGAATAAGCATAGTCCCTTCCCCTAAAGAGTTCTCTAGTTCTCAGTACCAGAGAGAGAGAGAGAGAGAGAGAGAGACCCAGTGATAGAATATTGTGACTGGTATTATTTTGGGGAGCACAGAGGAAGAGCAGGATTTGAGACTTCGTAGGGGGTATTCATGGGAGGCTTCCTGGAGGAAGTGACACCCAGGCTGACTTGAAGGATGAGTAAGCATTATGCAGGTGCAGGGGGTGGGAAGAAGAGTGTTCAGGCTGAGGGAATTGTTTGAGCAAAAGCCCAGGACAGTCCCATCCCCTCATGGAGACCAGGCAGTGTCCCTGAGTGCTGGGTGTGGAGGCTGAGAGACTTCCAGCTTTCCAGATTCTACTTCTTCCTCCTGCTGGGTCTCAGCATGTTGAGTTCCCTCTGTTTTTTTTTTTTCTCTGCTGGTTCTGAAGTTTGCCCCAAGCACAGGGTGGCAATGCCACGTGTCCCAGACTCTGCACACTGGGGGAGGAGGTGGAGCTCATGTCACAAGGCCTGTGGGTCAGACTTTGCAGAGGCTCAGTGTTCTGAGAGGGGTGGAGAGAAAAGAGGTTGGCCTGCAGACGGTTGAAGGGCTGGAGCTGCCTGCGAAGCAAATGGAGCAGGCAGGTTGGAGGAGGGCACAGGAATCTTGGGCTGGCACTGGGGAAGGACCTGCACAGCCACAGGGACAGGAGGGCTTGGTGGCACTGGCTAACAGCCTGCTGTGTGGGCTCTTTCATGAGAACCAGGATGGTGTGTTCTTTCCCTAGACTAGGTCCCTGGGTCACGGGTTTCAGGAAAATGGCAGCCAAGTGATGATCTCGAGGAGGGTGGTTATGGAGATAGATGGAAGGGGTGCCTTTTGGGGACAGGTTTGAGGGGTGTATGTCACTGGGAAGGGGGAGTCACAAGAGGGCTTTGGTGAGGAAATATATTAACGGAGGTGGGAGACTGGAATCCTGCCTTCAAGGGGCAAGTAGTCCCTCAGGCTATAGCCACACATTGTCCTCCTTCCTGCCTCCACCCCTGGGGTGAGTAAGCCAGGCCATGGCAGAACATTGCCAAGGCCTACCCGTGGAAGGACAGCACAGAAGCCCAGCTAGCTACTGGGAGAACCAACTGCTGATTCCGAAGCACTCCAAGGAAATGGGCAACGAGGCTGGTGTGCCCACATGTGCGCATGTGTGCATGCATAGCAGAAGAAAAGAGGAGGCAGAGAGAAAAAGAGGCCAGGAGCCTTTCTGGAAAAGCTTCCCACGAGGTCTGACTTGAGGATAACCTGAAGCAAAGGAAATGGACTCCTCAGCTGGGGGAAGGGACATGGGGGTGCAAGGTGAGGGAGTGTGAGGGAGCTGTCTACGCTATGAGACATGGCTGAATGCTGGGAGCTGGGGACTGGGATAGGGCTGAGTGGGTGCTGAGCTCCTAGGTTGCTGGTGAGGAACCCAGCCTTGGGGAATGTCCCTGTTTTGCAGGATTCTGGCACTGGAGGCCTAGACAACGATGCAGCAAATGTGGTAGGCAGATCCCTGGCTCAGCAGTCAAGATTCTGAGTCCGTCTTGAGTAGCTGGGAGGGATAAGATAGCTGAAGGACAGGGCTAGGTTGTGAGAAGGCTGGCATCAGCCACAGCTGAGCCAGAGGCTGAGGGTGGAGCTCACTGGTGATCTGCCTCTCACACCAAGAATCTTCAGTTGCACTGCTGTGGGGGAAAACTGGGATCTGGGGTCTAGAGCTCCCAGTCACTGGCTGGGAGTGAGAAACTATAGGTGGGTCTTCATAGGCCTGGCCTGAGGGAGAGGTGTGCAGAGGGCCGCAGGCAGCCCAGGCTGGATGTGGATATGATGATCCGACATTGAAAAAAACTTCAGGATCATGGGCTGAGGAGGGGAGAATTGGATGTAGAGAAGGAGGGGACTTTGAGGGACCATCACAACAGGAGAGGGTTGAGTGGGCATGCCAGAGAGGTGATGTAGTCTGGAACAACTCTGGTTTGAAGAAAAGCTGAAAGGGGACTGTGGGCAGAAAGCAGGTCTGGGAATCCAGGTGACCCCCTGCAGCAGAGCACCTGGCTGCCCCTGAGACAGTTTACAGAATGCGAGTGCAGGAGTAACTTTATCTGGCTAGACTTATACCTTTGCCCACAATCGAGCCTGGTTGCACAGTGTTGTTCCCAGACTGAGCTGACTTTTTCTACAGAGGTCTTGGCTCCACAGATGCAGACCCAGTAGCCCCATGACTTTGGGTAGAGGGAGTTCTATATTCCTGTCTGTGCTGTACTGGGGATGTGCCCACTGCCTGGACTTGCGAAGGGTGAGGACCATAGGCTGGCCTTCTGGAGCTGGGTGAGGGGAACATGGTGTTGGCGGAAGAGTCTCAGTCTACACTTCCCTCTGTGCTATAACTCAAAGAAGTTACTTCTGGCACACAGAGGGTGGGTTGAGGCTCTTTGACACCAAATATGTGGCAAGAACTTATCTGTGCATGGTTTAGTTTGTCTCCTAAGAATGTATTCAAGACAATGTTTTATGTTTTTTTTTAAATATTTTATTTATTTATCTTTAGAGGGGAAGGGAAGGAGAGAGGGAGAGAAATGTCAATGTATGGTTGCCTCTTGTGTGTCCCCTGCTGGGAACTGGCCTGCAACCCAGGCATGTGCCCTGACTGGGAATTGAACCATGGTTGTTTGGTTCCCAGGCCCGTGCTCAATCTACTGAGCTACACCAGCCAGGGCTCAAGACAGTATTTTATGTTTTATGGAGAGTCAGTCCAGCTACAAATGCGAAGTAGCATACCCTTACTCATCCTTGACCTCTTCTTCAGCTGGTAGGTTCAAAAGGAGGTGGGTGAAGCATCCTTCACCATTTCGACACTTACAGAATGTGGGCCAGGCCAGAAAGCACATTTATCACCCACACCTCGATGGGCAACTTCCATTTACATGCATTCATAGATGGGGAGTGTGCTTCAGACAATGCAACATTTATTTTTTATTTGGCGCTTTTGGGGAGGAGGGGCAATGGATTTCTCTTCCCAATCATATTTTGCATAAACTAGTATTAGAGAGGATTTGCATTCTTGGGGCACAAGTTATAGGTGTGATGGATGGGGTTAAGTAAAAGGCATGTCATTCTGGGCTTTAAAAATTGCCCAGAGGTAATCGACAAGATGGATAAAACCAGACTGAGCTGACTACTGTGATCACTAGCCTTGCACATAGAAGCTTCCTTTGAGGACCAATCATATTACAGATGTCATCTCTTATAATCGCCCTATTTAACAGAGAAGTACTTTGAGACAGAGAGCCTACTGATGAACTCCAGGTGGCAATGGGATGGGGGTGGAATGGAAGTGGAAACTGCTGGAGAGAGGGAGAGGCGGCTTAGACGGGAAACAGGTGCAGGTAGCACTGCGACCCACCCTGAAACTCACTAAGGGCCACGGCAGTACGAGGCTCTGGCTGCTGCCCCAGGGTGGTGTTGGAGAGAGGCAGACCCTCAGCGCCGGGAAAACTCCCACGTGTCGTGGTTAGAAACACAGAGGGCTTGTATGGAAACACTGTCTCCCTTCCCCCCCCACCCCCGTGGGCAAGTAGTGGAGGCCTGGGTTTAAGGCACAACGTAAAAATGTCGAGTTCCCTTCTCCTAACCCGCATCCCTTCCAGGGCTGACTAGAGTACCTCTCTGAGTTCTTTGTCAGCTTCCCAGAGGGAAGGGGCAAACCCCGTGGGAGTCCAGCGAGATTTTGCGCCTCACCAGGTATAGGGATGCAACCCAGCACAGGTGGCGAGCCAAGATGCCCCTTCCGCCGCGTGCCTCTGGGAGGGTAACAGAAGGGTATGAGAGGTGCCAAGGGGCGGGGCCGGGCCGGGGGCGGGGCCTACGGGCTCCCAATCACTTTCTTTCCCCGCCTCCGACCCCTTTCCACCAACCGCGCGCGGGGGGGGCGGTGCCTGTTACGCGGCAGTCTGGTGCGATTCACCAACCCCCACTTTTCTCCCTTCTCGCTCTCTCTTTCTCTCCCTTTTCCCCCACTCCCCCCTTTCCTTTTTTTTTTTGTGAATGAAAGAAGGAGGTCGCGAGCGGTCTTAGGGACTGCAGCGCTAGGCGTCTAGGCTGCAGAGCCTTCGGAGCGGGCCGGGCGTAGCGGTGGTAGCCTCGCCCCCATCTTCGCTACAGCGCGCCGCCTCCAGCCGGCGCAGCCCAGGACCCGCGGTGACCGAACGGCCCAGCAGCCGGAGGTCGGAGCGGCCTCGCGCAGCCCGGCTCCGGCGCGCCTCCATGACATTGGGCGCCCGAGGCGCGGGGAGATGCTGATCCGGAAGAGGCGACGGCTGCAGTGGCGCGCTCGCAGTCGCTTAGGGCCCGCGGTCCTACCTGGGCTGCTCTGTCGGAGTTTCTGATCTAACGCGCCCGGGCCCGGAGCCTGTAGCAGCAACAACAGCAGCAGCAGCAGCAGCAGCAGCAGCAGCAGCAGCAGCAGCAGCAGCTCGGCGGCGCGGGCATCGTCCTAACTTGCAGGCGTGGAGTGACCCCAGATATTTCACTAAAATGAGCGTGCTTAGCAGGAAGAGATGTGTTCCTTACACTAGAAATCACCCCGTCACATGTAGTGGTGTAAGTAAATGATTAATTTCTGTTATGCTGGGTTGCAGGCAGCCTCTGGGAACGCTCCGCTTTGCCCTCCTGCACCCTCCCGGCCCTGTCTGCGCCCCTCCTGACTTCCCCTCAGCTCCGACTCTTCCCCCGGCTGTAGTTTCGGCTGCTCCAGTGTCGGGTTACTAATCTCTGGATTTTTCTAGGGAAAGGACGATGACTTGATTGCCTTGGCGTGTCGAGGCCCCCTTCCCTCTCTAAAATTATTTTATTTTTATTTTGTGTGTATGTGCAGAGCAACGTGTCAGGAACAAAGGTCCGGAGTAGTTGAAATGTTTCCATTAAAAATCAACGGGTTTTGGGGGTTTTGCTCGACATTCCAGAGATGTTTCGTTCAGCCCAACTCAATTGCAGTCTGTGCATCTGAGTTCTGTCTGGTAAACTACTGAGAGAAAGCTTAGCGGTTGTTAGTGTCTGAGAAAGCTTAGTCCGTGTTGGGCTTGCATTTTTGTTAATATGATCATTCAAGATCCCTTTGGGCCTTGCTGCCCCCTGTATCTTCCCAGGAATTCATCTCTCCATCCTCCTCCATATTATACTCAGCGACACTTCGTGAGAGCCTCCTTTAATTCCAAGGCCACCCTCTCTGCTCATCTCTCCCTGATCCATCCTTCCCATCTATCCTTCCTTATTTTTACCTTCATTTTTAGGACATTCCTCCCTTTTGCATTTTGTAAGATGTGGGGTATGAAATATTGGTTGCTAGGAGACAAGCCAGGCTCCCCGGGAGATTCTGTTTCCTTGACAACCAGACTGGGGCAGCCACAGATGAACAAGCCACCTATCAGCTGTGGGAGGGAAAGGGGGGCTTTTCTGGGCTCTGCTAAAGAGTGTGTGTAGGGGTATGGGGGTGGGACTGGGAGCTGGTGAGGGTTGTAGCTAATCTGAGCACATCTTGCCTTTTGGTCTGTCCTGAGCACAAAGAGCTATAGGAGAACAGTGAGGGAACAGGGATCATGGGACAGGGTGGGGAGGGAACATCTAGTGACTCTGGGATCACTGAAGGAGAGGAGTGAATTATGGGTTGGGATGCCCCGGGCAGGGTGGCAAGGAAGCCGTAGTTAATGGAGGTTACTCAGGAGCCTCAGAAGGCATGGGGATGAGGCAATTGTACAGAAAAGTCTAGTCATTGAAGGAGAGAGTGCCAGAAGGAAAGGGGAAGTTGAGAAGCTCATTGAGTGGATTATAGTGTCATACATCATCGATGACACAGTAAAATAGCAATATTTTAGAGCAAAAATTACATTATTGTTGCATTGGCATGCTATCTCCAGTACAGGGTCTTTGTTTGAGACAAGCTGATGAGACTGAGTTCTGCTGGCTTAATTGGGCCAGGCTGTATCTTACAGAGTGGTATAATTACACATATAGATATGTAATCTAGCATTATATAATCCCACATTACATAAGAAGGCAAGGACCTCTTTTTAGCCCAGCCTGTCTTGACACAACTTGACCAAGATTCAAGAGACTTACTTTCAAAGCCCTCATACCCATTTTCCAGAAGGCCAGACTGATGCCCAGAGGAGTGAAGTGATTTGCTCTTTCCTAGATAAGACAGTGAAGTTTACCACTCAGGCTGTTGGGACAGGGGTGGAGAGGGAAAGAATGATGAAAACAGGGAAGAAGGGGAAGGATGGGGAGGGGCCGTCCAGTCTGAGCAGTACCCAGCATGTCTGGTGTCTAAACTCACATAGTGTGTTGCTCTCCTAAGGATGTGTAAGCCAATTTATTTATTTACTACTTAAATTTTGTTTATTTCTAGAGAGAGGAAGAGGGAAGGAGACATAGAGAAAGAGAAATATTGTTGTGTGAGAGAAACATCAATTGGTTGCCAGTTGCCTCTTGCATACCCCCAAGTGGGGACCTGGCCTGCAGCCCAGGCATGTGCCCTGACTGGGAATCAAACTGGTGACCTTTTGGTCTGCAGGCCAGCACTCACTCAATCCACTGAGCCACACCATCCAGGGCCCATAAAACAATTTAAACTCAAGTGCTTCTGAGTCTCAATTCCATTTTCTTTGAAGAGTAAGTACACCACCTTTGCATTGCAAATGGTGAGGATCTTTATGGTCATGGTGGTTTGAAAGGGGAAATAGCGTCTCGAGGGGATTGATATAAAGTTTGGACAAAGAGCAGGAACATAACCTGCTGGGAGGCTAGTAGCCACAGCAGCAGTGCCACCTTACGGAACCACGTCACCTTACTTATGCACTTGTGCGTGAGCATTTTAATCATAAACTTGCTGATCTTGGACCAGCACTGCTCTGCTGTTCTGGCATCCTCCCTGCCATCAAGGTACTTCTGGACCTAAGAACTGATGCTCCTTCTCCGTTCCTCCCCATCATCCCCCTTCTGCCTGCCACTAGAATGTAAATTTGAGAAAGAATAAAGGTGGCCTTCTGGGGAGAGTGAGGAGGGGTAGAGGAAGGAGAGGAATGATGCAGACAGTTACCCTGGAAACTGGGGAGGGACCTGCATGGAGACCCTTGTTGTTCAAGGTCCAGATCCTGTAAAATTCCAAGGAGGAGGAGGCACTTGTCTCATTGAGAAGTCCTTGCTGCACTTTTTGCTTAGGTTGCTGAGATGCATCCACTTGCGCAAATCCCAGTTGCCATCGTTACTTGGATATTTTAGCTCCGCATTCCTGCATGCTGGCATCCAGTTACAGCTCGGCAGGAATGGAGCTGCCGTTGCTGCTGGTGGCCTGGCTCGCAGGCTGGATGGTTCAGCAGTGAGGGCACCTGGGCAGCCTCCAGGATGTCTCCTTCCTTGGCCTAAGAAGGATTTCTCCAGGTTGCTGCAACCCCCAGCGGACTTCATGCACACAACTCATATGAGCAGGGGCAGGCCAATGACCCTGACAGACAAAGGTCTGATAATAAGGCCTCCTAATAACGCCTGCCTTGCCCCAGCTTCTGAGAGGGTGGATGCCAGCATGGGGGCTGCCAGTAAAAGCCCCCTCAAGCCAAGGGCCCTCCCAGTGACAGATTTTTAAACACTGACATGACATTTGATTACACAGAAGGTCCTCTTTGTTCATTTGAGCCATCCTTTGGGGAGTGAGCACACCACTTCTTCTCTGTCCAACACAGAAGGAAACTGAGGCAAGCATTTGCCTAGAAGCACAGGCCTGCTTCTGACCCTGTGCTCCTTCCCCCCAGCAACCCCATTCCCCTCCCAGCCATTTTGGGGGGTGTCCTTCTAGAGGTGTCTGGGGGCTGCCAGCCTGACAGTCCTCCTCCCTAGGAATGGCAGGTGCAGGTGGGTGTGGCTTGCTGTCCCCGAGGCTTGCCGCAGGATGCTGGGAAGGCAGACCTTGGTAGTGGGTGGCAAGGCCCACAGTTACCCACACCTCTCTCTCCAACCTGGGCCTGCAGCTGAGTGAGCCCGCCACACAGGCCACGTGACAGACCCAGAGGCAGGAGGGGAGGCTGGTGGGCTGCTTCGGTGCACCCAGAAGCCTCTCCACCCAGAGTTTGGGAGGAAGACTCTGGCGTCTCCGTAAAGGGGACTGGGGGTTTGGAAATCCTCCCCTGGAGGTGGACGGAGGTGAAGGTGGAGGCCAGGAGAGCCGCCTCCCAGCTCTGACAGGTCCATGAAATTTTAAAGTGGCCCTGCCCTCGATCATGCTGGGAAGGGGTGGAGACCTGGCCCTGACTCTGCTTCTCTCAGCTGTTTGTTCTGCTGCCACAGCCCTGCTGGTGGGAGGAGAGTGGATGATGAGTGAGCTTCCTGGGCAGACGCTCCTCTTCCTGAGGAAGAGGGGACAGGCCCCGGGCAGCAGGCTCCACCTGCGGTTCTGTCACGGGCCTCTGCTCCCTCTGCCCAGAAGCCCAGCTGGAGGATGGTGGCAACCGTAGGGAGACAAGTGGTTCATCTGGTGCAAAGGCTCCTCAGGCCCCTGCAGAGCTACTGCCCGGAAAGCTGCCCATTCCCTTCTCCTCCCCTTTGCTCAAATGCTGGAAGTGGAGAGCCGCTGGCCCTCACCCTCTGGGAGCTGGTGTGCTGGCCGTCTTGACTATTTCTCTCCTCTCCCTCAGGTCCCAATTAATGGATTCTGACATGGATTATGAAAGGCCAAACGTAGAGACCATCAAGTGTGTTGTGGTGGGGGACAACGCCGTGGGCAAGACCAGGCTCATCTGTGCACGGGCCTGCAATGCCACCCTCACCCAATACCAGCTGCTTGCCACCCATGTGCCCACAGTTTGGGCCATCGACCAGTATCGGGTGTGCCAGGAGGTAAGGTGGCAAGGCCACTGGGCTGGGGCCCACACCATACCTTTGGGCTTCTTCCCAATCCTTTGCTTGATGTTTCTAACCCTGGCCTGTGCAGAGCTCAGGGAAGCCCCCTGGGAGTAGGGTGGGGCAGCTGAAAAGGAAGGAGCCCCTGGGGCGAGGGCTGAGGGGAGCCTGCCCCAGTGGGAGGGGGGGGTTTGCATAGCTAACCTGATGCCTGGGAAACAGTGTCTTATGCAGTCACAGCCCCTGTAATGGGGAGCACTAGCTGGTGGGGCTGGGTATTTGGAGAGATGAGAGCTGAGAGAAGGACAGGATCTGCTGGCTGATTCCAGAAGGTCAGAGGCTGGTGAACAGGTAATTTGCAGGTAAAGCTGGAAACAAGGGCAGGCTCCCTGAGGGACCCCTTCCACACCCATGCCTGGCTGCCCTTTTAGAGTCTCCTTCCTCCTGGCCAGCTTGGAGGATACCCTTATTACTGAGTCTATAGTGAAGGCACCTGGACAGAAGCCTGTGCTAACTCTGTCCCTCCACCCCCCATGCTGCCTGGGACCCTTGGCTGTGAGCTGGCACCACCCTGAGCTGACATGCAGGGGCCCCAGGGACGCCTGCTTTTGAGTTCCGATGTGCTGTCCCTGCCCCCGCAGGTTCTGGAACGCTCCCGGGATGTGGTAGATGATGTCAGCGTCTCCCTGCGCCTCTGGGACACCTTTGGAGACCACCACAAAGACCGTCGCTTTGCTTATGGGAGGTAGGGAAGTCTCTGGTGCCTGAAGGGAGCCAAGGCGTGGGTGTTCCCTGCTTTCCCCAGGAACAGAGCACCTCTGGGACATTTAGATGGGCAGGAAGGAGGGGAGCAGCCAGGGGAGGCAGGTCCTCCTGGGGCAGGCAGCAGGCGGTGCGAGGGGTGGCTTCGGAGTCAGGAGGCCTGGTTCAGTCCTCGCCCTGCAGCCTACTAGCTCTGTGACTTTGGGCAATTAAGAGAACTGTTCCAAGATGACTTTTTTCAGCCTCATTATAGTAAAAATGGTCATTGCTAACAGGGTAGCCATGAGGTCAAAACGAGAGTCTTCGGAGGCTCTAAAATGCTAAATTAGAGGTACACAAGGTGTGGGACCATCACGTAGGGGTGGGGTGTGTATGCTGTATGCCCCTTCTCCCTCGTTCCAGGGGCAAGTAACCTCCTGCCAGCTCTCTCTGCGCCTAACGTCACTCTCCCATCCCCAGGTCCGACGTGGTGGTCCTGTGCTTCTCCATTGCCAACCCTAATTCTCTCCACCATGTCAAGACCATGTGGTACCCAGAGATCAAGCACTTCTGCCCCCGAGCTCCTGTCATCCTGGTGGGCTGCCAGCTGGACCTGCGCTACGCTGACCTGGAGGCCGTCAATAGGGCCAGGCGACCCTTGGCTAGGTAGCGAAGCTGGTGCCTAGGAAGGGGCGTGGGGGAAGGCAGAGGGAGGGACAGGTGTCTCTCTGGCCCCCTGCTCAGCCCTGAGGGAGTCCCCCGCAGCCTTACTCCTCTCCCCTTCCTTTGAAGCAAGTCCACATAGAGAATCGATGAGTGTTCGGTCTTTTATTCCCGCCACCTGTCTTATCCATTCATTTATCTGTTCATTCTTGTTACACACGGTGTCAGCTTGGTGGACTAAGCAGCATGAGGAGAGGAGAGAGGCAGCCTTTGCATGGAAGGGGTTTATGATCTTGCTGGGAGATAAACTTAATAGGAGAACATGTTAACCAATGTGGAAAGTCGCATGCTGACTACCAGAGAGCTAGTTAGTGCTGACACTGCTCTGAGCTGGAGGAATCACCAGAGCCTGACAGATACGGAAAGCTTCCTGGAAGAAGAGGGGATTAGAGGTAGGCCTTGAAGGACTGGTAGGATTTGGTGAGACAAAGACGAAAGGGCAGAGATTCATTGGAATTGAGCAGGGCAGGAGTGGGGCCCGGGACATAAGCCCCTCACCCCAGTCCAGTGAAGAACGGCAGGCCCTAGCCAGCTGCCTCTCCCTGCTCTTGTTCTCCCCCAGCAACGTAACATTGCTTTGCCCCCTGAATGTCCAGGCCCATCAAGCCCAATGAGATCCTTCCCCCGGAGAAGGGTCGGGAGGTGGCCAAGGAGCTGGGCATCCCCTACTACGAGACCAGCGTGGTGGCCCAGTTCGGCATCAAGGACGTCTTCGACAACGCCATCCGCGCAGCACTCATCTCCCGCCGCCACCTGCAGTTCTGGAAGTCCCACCTCCGCAATGTGCAGCGGCCTCTGCTGCAGGCCCCCTTCCTGCCTCCCAAGCCCCCTCCCCCCATCATTGTGGTGCCCGAACCCCCCTCCAGCAGTGAGGAGTGCCCCGCCCACCTCCTGGAGGACCCGCTGTGTGCGGATGTCATCCTGGTGCTGCAGGAGCGGGTGCGCATCTTTGCCCACAAGATCTACCTCTCCACCTCCTCCTCCAAGTTCTACGACCTGTTCCTCATGGACCTGAGTGAGGGAGAGCTGGGGGGCCCCTCGGGGCCAGGGGTCTCCCGCCCAGAGGACCACCGGGCTCACCCTGATCAACACCACCACCACCACCACCACCACCACCATGGCCGGGACTTTCTGCTTCGCGCTGCCAGCTTTGACGTGTGCGAGAGTGTGGAGGACGGTGGGAGCTCCGGCCCAGCTGGGCTCCGGGCCTCAACCAGCGATGGCATCTTACGGGGCAATGGCACCGGGTATCTGCCGGGAAGGGGTCGAGTGCTGTCTTCCTGGAGCCGAGCTTTCGTAAGCATCCAGGAGGAGATGGCAGAAGATCCACTGACCTACAAATCCAGGCTGATGGTGGTGGTAAAAATGGACAATTCCATCCAGCCAGGGCCCTTCCGGGCTGTTCTCAAGTACCTGTACACTGGGGAGCTGGACGAGAAGGAGCGGGACCTCATGCACATTGCCCACATTGCGGAGCTGCTCGAGGTCTTCGACCTCCGCATGATGGTGGCCAACATCCTCAACAATGAGGCCTTCATGAACCAGGAGATCACCAAGGCCTTCCACGTCCGCAGGACCAATCGGGTTAAGGAGTGCTTGGCTAAGGGCACCTTCTCAGGTAGGGAGCGTGCTTAGTTAGGGACTCAGCGGGAAGGGCAGGGCCCTACCCTCCCTGCAGCCTTGGGAGGAGCCCAGGTTGGTCCGATGAGCACGTGGCTGCTGGCGTCCTGGAGGTGTGTTGGCTCCGCCTGGAGCCTGAGAGTGCATCACAGCGTGTTCCCCAGCTCGGGGCTTTGGAGCGCAGCCTGCTGCCTGGGTGCATGGTCGACCCTTGGGGTGGGTGGTCCCACCTCCTTTCACCACATCCTCACATGGTGCCTCCTCTCCTCCTGGACAGATGTGACCTTCATCCTGGATGATGGCACCATCAGCGCCCACAAACCCCTGTTGATTTCCAGCTGCGACTGGATGGCTGCCATGTTCGGGGGGCCCTTTGTGGAGAGTTCCACCAGGGAGGTAAGGCGGGTAGGGGGTGGGGAAGGAGATCTGCACTCTTCGCATCTGAGGCATCAGCTGTCATTTCATGGTGCCTTCGTCAGCACTCACTGGGTGCTGACCAGAGAGTGATGGGCCGCAGGGAAGTGTATGGGGTGGTTCCGGAGCCCAGGGTTGTTCAGTGCGCCAGGACTGGGAATCAGAGTGACAGCTTCACCCAGCAGTTGAGAAAGCACTTTCAGTACATTATCTCCTGTCACCTCACCTGTGACTCGCAGACAGGGCTCAGTGTTCCCACTTCATACGTGAAGGAAGTGAGGCCCTGAAAAGTTAATGGCTCGTGCAGAGTTGTAGGACCTCTGATTTTTGGCTCTCTGCATTGTGCCTTGCTTTCTCCCTGACACATGCAAAACAGCTAGAAAAAAGCTCACTGTGTCCCAGGCCGAACCCGTCACTGAGGCATGGTGAGCATGACAGCGGATCAGGAGGAGATTGCCACTGAAAAGGTACCTGTTTATACCCCCAGATCTAATCAGCTAGGGCACCCACAGTGAGGGTGTGGGGAGCACGGGCAGAGGCACCAGGGCCAGTGCGTCAGGAGACGGTGCAGGGAGAGCTGGAGAGCTGTGGGCAACAGCCGTTAGTGTGGTTCCTTGGGAAGGAGGGGGAGGATGAGGCAGGGTGAGGTTTCAGATTGGCTGGTTTGAATAAGTTCAGTGCGCTCTGGGGCATAGGCACTGCCCTTAGTCACCCAGTGCCTGGGGTAATTGGGGCAGGGGGACGGTGGCCAGGAGTGAGAGCTGATGAAAGAAGTGGTGGGGGTGAGGACTCCGCATTGGCTGGTGTGCGTACCAAAGGTGTGCTGTCTCTTGGGGGTTTCTTTACTGTCTCTAGCAGTTGGCTAGCCCTGGGGGAGGAGGACCCTCCAGGGTCAGCAAGCCAATAGAGGTCAAAGCATCCAAATACAGAAAATAAAAAGAAATGCTTCATGTGGTCACCTTTCCCTTTCCCGACAGCCACTCCACCTGCCCTCAGGCACAGAGAGTGGCAGCAGAGTTGGAAGGGGCTGCTCACTGCGTCCTTAGAAACACTCTCTGAAGTCTGTTCTCTTTCTTGCATTCTCCCAGCTAAGCAGAGGGACCTAGGCTGAGCCCCTGGTGCGCTCCTTGTTCTCTGAACTTCTGTAGCATGAATTACCCGTCACTCGGCCTTGCAGCTAACAGGGCAGTACTTTGTGCAGCTGCTTGAAGTGCCAAGTGTCCACACTCGGTTTTCCCAGCTGGCCTGTGGTGTCTTGAGTGCAGGGACTAGGTCTTTACTTTCGCCAAGTGCCTTCTCTGCCAGCACCAGCCCCTCAGTGCGTGCTGAATGAAAGACTGGGCTAGAAACAATGCAGCATAGTCCCTGTGTCACTGGACAGAGATGTCCTAGAATTGCTCGGAAGAAAGGCTAAGTGAAGGCTTGAGATTTGAGTCGGTCTCTGATCCTTGAAGTGGGAGTGGGACTGGGATATGCTAAGTGGGAGACTAGGGACTCTGCGGAGCCCCAGGGGCTCGCCAGCCCTGCGCACTTCCCAGCACCATAGAAGCAGCTCAGAGCTCGACCTGACTCCCAGCGCAGCCTGAGAGATTTGCGGCTAATGAGAAAGCAGCTTTGTAGCAGCGCTGCTCCAAGGAGGTCCCTGAGGCCCCTAGTAGCAGCTTCCAGAAGCCAGCCGAAGTTGGCTCGCTTGTTCTGTAGCCCATTTGTGGCAGTCTCTGCAGGGTCCGGTGGGGCCAGGGTGTAGGTTTGGGGACCTGAAGGACTCCTTCAAGCCCCCTCTGTATCAGAACAGCTTTGGAAGAACGCCAGTGAGAATCCAGGTCTTTTTAAAGGCTCTTAGAGCTGCTGCCAGCTGATGGGCTTAGCACAGGTGGTTGCTCTAGGAGACAGGCCTTGGGGGGCCTTTTCCTCAGCAGGTACAGGGGCAGCACAGGGGTGGCTGCCTGACTGGGAATGGGGACAGCTGTGCAGGCCTTGTGGGCTTTCTGAGTTTCTCGGAGCCGAGTGACCCTTCTCCAAGGCGACCTCACTGCAGGCTGCCGTCCCCCACAGGTGGTGTTCCCTCACACGAGCAAGAGCTGCATGCGGGCCGTGCTGGAGTACCTGTACACGGGCATGTTCACTTCCAGCCCCGACCTGGACGACATGAAGCTCATCATCCTGGCTAACCGCCTCTGCCTGCCACACCTGGTTGCCCTCACAGGTAACTAACCCGAGCGCTCAGACCTCCCAGGGGGGAGAAGTCCGGGGAGCCCCAGGAGAGGTCATTTCTCTCACTGCCAGCACCAAGGGACCCGTCTACGTAAGGTGAGCATGTGGATGTGTATTGGAAGTTGGGTGAGGACACAGAGGTGAACCAGTGTGTGTGAGAAAGATGCTTGGTGGGGTCGCCAGTAGGCCGTCCCCAAAGGTGATGGTGGCCCAGCAGAGTGGTCCCCAGTAGTGCATAATGCCTGGTGCTCCTATGAGCGTGGCTTCTTCGCCCAGGCAAGCCCAAGAAGTTAGAAAGAACAGAATACAGTTCATGTGTCTACACTTTGGTCCTCCTCCTTCTTCCTTTCCTTTTTTGTTCCGTTTTGTCATGTGAATCTGCTTTATTTGTTGTTCTGGGTTGCTTTCCGTTTTCTTCTCCCTTTTCTCTTCCTCCTCCTTCTCTCCCACTTTCATTTTCTCTTCCTTCTTTCAGAAACAGACAGTGAACACTGACCTGCCACTCCCAGTTCGTTGAAGGGATTGTGAGAGCTGGAGTTCACTTGGAGAAGGGACCAGCCTTAGGGGCCTTTGGGTGGGGCAGGGATGGAGGCAGGAAGGAAGGCCGGCTGCTCAGGTCCCAGGGGTTGAGAGGGTCTGGAGTCAGTAATACAGGCTGGCAGACAGCTGCTGATGATGTTGGAACTGGATTTGTGTGGTGTGGGTGTTGGTTGGCACCTGTGCTGGTGTTGGTATCAGGGTTTTGTGTCTGTGGTCAGGCAGAGAGCAGGGCCTGTGACACTGGGCTGAGGTTCAGTGTCAGAGCTGCTGGGCCCTTGGGCAGATGATCAAGCTTGGGACTCAGCTGTAAGGGAAACATCAGTGTTATGGTGAGAAATGGTTACAAGGTGGGGCTTGGTCATAGGAAGAAGGCAGAAATCAGTGATCAGAACCGAACGTTAAGGGCTGAGCCTGCAGAGGGCATCCAGGGGCCCCAGCTGAGGGCACAGCAGGCGTTAGGGCAGGAGCAGGAGAGAGGGTTCCGAAGGTCACAGCCGTGGCAGTGGGTCACCCCTGCTGTCCGTGAGACGTGTGCATCCTCCCTGAGTACATAAAGTTCCCCAAACTCAGACCAAGAGTCAAAGTCAGCTTTAGAAATGGCTCAAGGAAGAAAGCTTTATAAGTCTATTTCATCAGGCAGGCAGTCGGGCAAGTCAAACAGGCACTATTGGTTAAGCGCGCGTGGGTGATTTTCATGAGGTAGCCGCTACAAATGTTACATGGCCCTGATACACAAAAAGGCTCATAGGAAACAACGTTGACTGGCTTCTCCCATGAAATGGTCTATGCACGCCAGAACACACGTGCCAGGATGTGTTGCGTGTACCTCCTCGAGGACCAGCAGGAAGTGCTGGGTGTGCTGTAGTTGGTGTGCTTCGTGTTCGGTGAGATGTGCTTTCTGGGAGGTTATAAATTCAAGCTTAAAACTTTGTTGTTAAATGTAACAAATATACGGATGTTCAGCTTAATGAATTGTTATGAAGTAGAATGCTCATATCAGGAGCTAGAACCCTCCGACCACACCAGCAGCCCTCCACCTGCCCTTCCCAGTCACCGCCTCCCCTCCTCCCAGAGTTACCACTTTGCCTTTCACTCTTTTGGGGGGTGTTTATTATGGCCTCACTTCCTTGTCTTAAACACTATAGCATGGTTTTATTTTTTTATATATACCTTTTTAAAGGTATATATAAAATAAATATATTTTTATTTATTTATTTTTAGAGTGGGGGGAAGGGAGGGAGAAAGAGGGGGAGATACACGTCAACCAGTTGCCTCTCCTAGGTGCCCCAGAAGGGGACCAAACCCTCAGCCCAGGCATGGGCCCTGATTGGGAATTGACCTGGCAACCTTTAGCTTTTTAGGACGATGACCAACCAACTGAGCCACGCTGGCCAGGGCTATTTGTTATATACCTTTTAAGTTTCTTTTCATCTAAGAGGTAATCAAACTATTTTCACCAGGGGCCATATCAGCCTTGTGGTTACTTTCAAACGGCAGAATGTAATTTCAACTTGTTAATAGTTAAGGAGTAGTTACGCGTATACAGCCCTAAAATCACACTCGGCCTTTCGACAGCAACCGGGAGGCGGATGTGACCCCTGGGGAAAATGAGTCTGACACCCCTAATCTAAGGGCACCTTGTTTGTTAAAACATTTTTTCCCCTTGCAGTTTTTTGCTTGTTGGAAAAAAAACACCAATCTATTGTAGCAAATCTAGATGGCAGTTTATTGCACCCCTGTAGTGCACCGTGTTCCCTGGAATCTGACTGTCGGGCTAAACCTCATTCCCAGTCAGCTTGCTTTTGGTGAGATGACTACGTCACAGGTGTTTGTTTGCGTCCAGAAGCATGATTGTCTGCTCTTCTCTCTTCTCGGGATGTCGTCAGCCATTGAGTATCATTGCCTGGGCCCATGAATTTATTGGGTGTTGTGAAGTGGTAATGCTCCAATTCAACTGTTCCTTCCTTATCTGCTGGAATACTTCTAAAAAGAGAAAAATCTCCCCTCTCCTGCTGCACGGTTAACCAGTGGTGTAATTCATATAGGAAAGGCAGGTGAACGCTTGAGTCTTTCCTTTTGTTTACTGGATTTCAAGATAAATCGGTTTCCTGTCTTCCTTAGAGGGTGAACAGTTAGTTGGGATTTTTTAAGTATTATCATGAACCCTTAGATCTGAACTCAGTCCATTTCAGGTATTTGTGGTTATCCTTATCGAAGCTCAAATACTCACTGAACCTTAAATCAGTAGATGTCTCTTCAAGTTGGCTCCGGTGTCTGTGCTTCTGGCCCTCTGGAGTGACGAGATGTCCCAGGTTCATCTGGTTTGCGCCCGGCCCCCGACCTGGACTCGGCCGTCTCTCTCCAGAGTCCTGGTCTCTGGCAGCGGGGACTGCGCCTTGCACTGCGACAGCTGTTCTGGCGAGGCCTTTCCTGTGGACTAAGCTGGGAAATACATTTGTATTTCAAAATATAAAATACCACAGGAGTTTATACTGATACTGTTAAAATTCAGGACGAAAAGTGTTTACTTCAGTATAGACACTTTAACTTAAAATGCAACGTTAGCACACAATTTGTTCGTCTCTCCCGTAGTGCTAAGTCACAGTTCTCAGCACCCCCAGGCTTTCCACCCTCTCCCGGTGGCGTTGGCGGCTCACCGCGCTGGCTGCATCCGGCTGTCGTCCTGTGTCTCAGGCCGTTTGGTCCCATGTGTAGCTTGAGAGTCTCGTAAAATCCTCTTAGACAATACTGACGTTCTCCTTCACTTCCCACCCTACCTCACTCGGGAAGTCTTGCTTTCCCACCAGTTTTGTCACTGATGGGACCAGACTTAAATCGCCTGTGGCCTTTCCTGGGCCTGTTAGGACTTGCCCTTGGCCTTGGCTTCTCTTTGCTCTGCAGTAGGTCCTTGCTGGGGGGATAGGTGCACACACATCCACGTACATGGTTCCTCCACTGATTCCTGGCTGTGTGTGTCACAGAGCAGTACACAGTGACCGGGCTGATGGAGGCAACTCAGATGATGGTGGACATCGATGGGGACGTCCTTGTGTTCCTGGAACTGGCTCAGGTAGGATGGCAGGGGAAAGGATCTCTCCTCCAGTTTCAACTCTGGGCTCTGCCTACTGGCCACAGATGGGGAAGGGTGGTGAGGTGGTGGGTGGGAAGGAGACCCCATGTCAGACTCTGTTTCCTGACTGGGTAGAGTCCCTCTTAGCCTCCAGGCCAGAGGATACACCCTACACACCCAAAGGAGGGGCTGGCCTCGAGCAGAGTGGGGGTGGAAGGACTGAGACTTCAGGCAACCCCAGGGCGGGGTAGGGGGCAGCCCCAGTCTCCTGTATAGACAGGGTTGCTGCCTGCCTGAGGTCATTTAAGGAACACTGAGGACGCCCCATCCAAAAATAATTGGCTGCCTCCTAATTCCTGTACACACAGGAAAATCTCCCACACCAGCCCTGAGGGTGTCAGAGATTCTACCATTAAAGGATTAGTTTAGGGAGGTAAGTATGGCAGATGCAGTCTTGCACACACCCAGGGAAACTGGCTCTGAGCCTGGTTGTCAGCACCTGAGAGCAGACTGCCTCGGCCCCTCAGGGGTAAAGAAGAACCGCCCCTGGGGTAAGATCTGAGGAGGGTGGGCACCGAAGGAGGCCACCACGGAGGCCTAGGGACCCCCTTGGATGCTGGCACAGGACAGAGGCTGGGGTGGTGGCAGCAACAGTGCCGAGAGCCAGTCCCATGAAGCTTCAGCTGTGACAGCAACTGTAGCTGCCTGCGCTGACCTGCCTGTCCACGTCTCCCCAGTTCCACTGTGCGTACCAGTTGGCAGACTGGTGTCTCCACCACATCTGTACCAACTACAACAACGTGTGCCGCAAGTTCCCCCGAGACATGAAGGCCATGTCCCCAGGTGAGCATCCCCAGCAGGACCTGCCGATCCCCTTCTACAAAACCAAGGGGCCTCCACTTGGGGCCAGATCTCCAGTCTGACCCCAGGGCAGCTGCCTAAGATCCTTGGGCCTGGCTTGACCTTGCAGCTGGGAAGTGGCCTGCAGAGCTGCGTCCAGCCAGGCAGAGGGGCTCAAGCACAGTGCTGGTGTGGTGGGCAGAGGATGTGGGGGCCTGTTGCAACTCCCTCCACCCCTCTGGGCTTCTGTCTCTCCCAGGTATAGAGTGTTGGACTACAGTTATTTTTTTAGAACTTTTTGGGCAGGACTCCACAGTAGGAACTGTAATTCTATTATTTTTTTAGATTTTGCTCATTTAGAGGAGAAGGGAAGGAGAAAAAGGAGAGAAACATCGATGTGTGGTTGCCTCTCTCATGCCCCCCACTGGGGCCCCAGCCCGCATCCCAGGCGTGTGCCCTGACAGGGAATCAAACTGGCTACCATTTGGTTCGCAGGCTGGCACTCAATCCACTGAGCCACACCAGCCAGGGCTAAAATTTTATATTGTGACAGAAAAATACATAGATTGTTTTGAATGCTGCTCATGACCTGCTGCACGGTTTCACTGCCTAGACACCCAGATCCCAGCCGCCTCTGAGGTCCCGGGGACTCTGCCTCTGCTTGATTGATATGTCAGGTCCTGGAGCTCAGCAGAAGCTCAAGGGCACCAGGGAGAGATGTCCCTGGCATCCCAGAATTCCTGCCACTCAGTGCCCTTGAGGTCATCACTGGGCACCTTCCTCTCTGCTGGGACCCTCCTCCCTGCTTCCCGGTTGTTGCGTGCCATGTCCATTCTCTCCCATTTCCTCCCAGCCTTCTAGCCTTTTCTTTCTAAAGCACAGCCCGATCACTTCACTCCCCTGGTTTCAAACTTCCGCCTGTGGCCCCCCAAGCCTTTCCCTATCTGTCCAGATCCCTCAGCCTCACCCTCCTGGTCTGACGGACCCTCCTGCTCTTCTGAAGACTCTTCTCCCCTTCTGCTCAGAACCTCAGCTCCGGCAGAGGCTGCCTGCCGTGCAGCCTCAAACACCTGCCCCTGACCTCATCCTTTGTCTCCCACTGAGACCTTCCCAGGAGACTCTCTTTAAGGAGCTCTGCAGCCAGACTGGGGACTCTTTGAAGGCAAAGGCTTAGCCTTGGGGCCCCAGGGGCTAGGGCGTGCTCCTTGCTGACAGAAGGCTGCAGTCCCCGAGGCATCAGGATGGGGGAGGGTGTCCCTGGGCACTTCCACGTCCCAGTGCTCCTCTAGCCCCTTCTCCAGCCTGCCTTCTCACCAAGCCCCATGCGTTCTGCTCCAGAAAACCAGGAGTACTTTGAGAAGCACCGGTGGCCACCTGTGTGGTACCTGAAGGAGGAAGATCACTATCAGCGGGCCCGGAAGGAGCGTGAGAAAGAGGACTATCTCCACCTGAAACGGCAGCCCAAGCGGCGGTGGCTGTTCTGGAACAGTCCCTCCTCACCGTCCTCTTCTGCAGCCTCCTCGTCGTCCCCATCTTCCTCCTCGGCTGTAGTCTGAGATGCTGCCGCCCTCTTCTGACCCTGCTGCTGTTGTGTCCACCGGACCTCGCCCCTCTGCTCTCCGTATCGCCCCCTCCACCTTCCAGGGACAAGGGGACCCACTTAACCAGGACCCTGAGGGCGGAGCTGTTCTCACCAGCCAACATAGCTCAGCAAGAGAGGGGCAGGGCCTTGTGAATCAGAGCTGGGGCCCCTGCAGGGGTGCCCAGTTCTGAAGCAGGGCAGGGGACAGTCCTGGGAGGTATGAGCAGGGAAGAGCTGAGAGTGCTGGCATCTTGTCTCTGGAGAGCCCTGGAGTCAGAGGGAAAACTTCCAGCCATGGGGAGCTGTGGTCTGCAGAGGTGGCCCCTCCCGGGGAATGGCAGTGGCGAGGAGGGTTCCGCCCCTAAAGGCCATGATTTCCCACCAGTGGACTGAAGGGTTGCACATGTTTTGTGGGCATTTCCACATGGAGCCTGCTCAGATCCCCACTGGAGCAGTCAGGGTAGGCATTAAGCCTTCAGAGTTGAGTGGAAGGCTTGCACTCTGCCTGTGGGTGCTGTCTGCGTGGGCCTGGCAGAGCCTGCTGGAGTTTAGAGCTCCAGGCCTAGGAGCAGGGCCTCCTGGTGCAGTGAGAAACTCTTCCCTCCCCTCTCCTTCCCCACTCTAAAGTGGGACCCAGAGGAAACAGCTGGGGCAGAGGGAGAGAGGGTAGGGGGTGGTGGCCCGATGCAGCAGTCCTGTGCTCCTCTGGGCTCAGCTCCCTGCCTCTAGTTAGCACGGCTTATGGGGTGGGACAAAATTAGCAAAAGAAAAAAAAGCAACAAACAAAATCACCAACAGAAACACTCTAGCCTCTAACCCCTCAAAGAAGGAAGAACAGAGAAAGACCCCGTTCCCTGTATGGCTTACATTTGTATCAAACCCAATAGGGGCCCCCATGTAGATAAGACAAAAGGTTAAGATTGTAGAATTGATTCCAGTGCCTTTCAGGAAGGGACCTGGTCACCAGCGGTGACTGGGGACTCCCTGGCTGCTAGGACGCTCTGGGGGGCAGCACAGGTCCCATGCCTTCAGCCTGCTGGGATCAGGGCTGGAGGATGGGAGGGAACGGGTAGCCCTGGGTTTGGACATGGCATTAAGTGACCCCTGTTGCCTGTGTGAGAACCTGGTTACCCGCTTCCTTCAGAGGTGGCCCCACAGGATGAGGATGTTGTGGAGGGAGGTTTGGGGCAGGGGTTGAAGGTCTGGAAGGTCACTGACTTGGGAATAGGAATCTCAGTGATGAAGGATCAGAGGACAGGACCTTACTTGGTGCCAGTTTGGGATACAAGGGGAGGAAGAAAGGGAGACCTCCGCAGTCCCCCAGGAGGAGGGGATGGGACCGGAGAATGGGGACAGCAGCCTGCAACCCCGCAGGGCAAAGCTGGGCCTCGGTGGACCCTCTTCCTGTTTCTACCCCTGATCTTATTTTACTCCCACGGGCTTTTGCACCCAAAAGACAGAGTCCCTCTGGTGAGGGTGGAGCTGCAGACACAGCTCCTGAGCTCAGAGCCGTGGCGTCACCTGGCCCGAGGAGGGACTGGCTGTGGTCTCAAGGCCCCAGCATGCCATCCAGTGGGGCTTACGGTCTGGGAGAGAACAAACCTAGAAATGAAGGACACCCCTGCAATGAGTGGTGCCACGCCCTAGAGAGCTGAGGGTAAGCTGTCGGCAAAATTAGCAGCAGGAGGTGGCAGGGCAAGCAGGCCTACAGCAGCCGGCCCGTGAGCCCCAGACTTCTGGGCTGCGCTGTGTCCCCTCCAAGTCTAGGGTGGCTATGCCTGACATGTGCTGCCCTCTACTGGCTGCCAGCCTCCCTTGGCAGAGCTTGCAGTCTGCAGCCTCAAGGAAGGCTGGGGGGTGGTGGTGGAGGAGGGGTCTCGCCTTGTAGGGTGGGAATGGCTCTGCACCTGGCACCTTTGCACTGGGGAAGGGAACAGGAGGAACCACAGGGTCTCCCAGGAACGCTGTGTGAGAGGGAGAGCCCAGGCCTAAGGTCCAAGGGCAGGGAATGGGTGTCCACGAGCTGGCAGGGCTGAGCCATCTGGCCCATTGACAAGGATGCAGAAAGGCCAGTGGGGAAGGTGCAGGTGGCCCACAGGAGAGGGGCTGCAGATCCACCCCAGCAAGCAGAACCAGCTCACCAGTCCGGGACCCACTGCCCCTTCCCAGTTGCTCCATCAGAGCCGGGCTGCCCCAGGCAGGAGCCCATAGGCCCAGGTGTAACCCCAGATGCCACCTGAGGAGGCTGTGGGGAGCGAGACTGGGCCGGGATCCCTCTCCCAGGTGGGAGGGAGGGTGGAGGGGCTCTAATTCCAGTCCCCCATGAACCTGACTCAGAAATCCCAAGTCAGAGCTGGACACCCACCCACACCGGGCAAGCCTGATGGCATCACGGGAGAGGAAGGGGCATGTCCCCCAGCAAGAGTACACAGCCCTGCACTCCTTCACTCAGAGCTGTCCGTGAGGGGAGTGTGAGGGTGGGGGGAAACACACACGCACACACACACACACACCTCTTTTTATATAAGGTTTCATATTTAATTTGGTCATGAGTTCATAAATACATGAGTATTTTGTACCTAATGGCTCTCCTTGCATTATTTCCAATAAACTCTTCAAAGGTAGCACCTTCCACTGGAGGGAAGTGTGTAAAAATAATCACTGATGAATCATTGTAATGCCTACTGTGTGCCAGGTGCTATTTGAACAGAATGTAAAACAAAAAACAACTTCACACTTAGCAAGCTGACTTTTTGAATGGATAAACATGCCAAACACTGATAAGGCTAATACTTTAGACAGGACATTCAAGTTCCCCGAGGAAGAGACAACTGAGCTGAAACCTGATAGGGAAGAAGCCATTCACTCACATCTTCACCTGAAGACTGGAAGGCAGAGCGTCCTGCACAGAAGGAACAGCAGAGGCAGGAAACGCCTGTGTCTCTCAGGAATGGGAGAAGCCTCAGGGTAGGACCCCAGGGGGAAGGGGGAGAGGTGTGTCAGGGCAGAGACCATGGAGGCTCCCCCCACCCGCCAAGCTCCACCAGAACACTAATCTTTGAACATGCCTAAACGTTCAGGCACTTCTAGGTCGGGCCGAGCCACACTGGTCTTGAAATAAGACAATACGCACACCTTTGGGACTGTGAAGCCCTGAACCACTGAGAACTGCCACGCCCATCACTGAATCCTGACATGACCAGAGTAAATACTAAGGAAGGTGTGGTGGAAGGAGGGCTAGAGTGGTTACAAAGTATTTAAAAAAAAAAGAGAAAATGATGCAAGAACAAAACTCTAACACATCAGTCATTCTAGGCTCAACTCTCACAGTATTTAAGAATATTTGTATTTCATACAGAAGTTAGACACTGCAGAGGCACTAAGCCCCTCACACAGGGAATCTGTCCTTCAAAAAATGCCGTTCTGGGCCTTGGGTTCACAGACAACAGGAAGTGACACAGCTCGAAATTACAGACCAACATCTCTGATAAGTATGTGAAAATCCTCAACAAAATATTAGCAAACTAAATATAATAATATATTTAAAGGCCACACACTCTGGTCAGTTAAATTAAAACAAAGGAGCCAAGAATATACAATGGAGAAAGGAAAGTCTCTAATTAATGGAAAACTGTCAGCCACATGCAAAAGAATGGAACTGGACCACCATCCTACACTTTACACAAAAATTAACTCAAAATGGATTAGAGACTTGAACGTAACAATCTGAAACCGAAAAATTCCTAGAACACAGGTGGTAAGCTGCTTGCAAGGTCTGGCTGATGATTTTCTGAATCTGACATCAAAAGCAAAAGGAACAAAAGCAAAAGTAAAGAAGGGAACAAGTAAGTGGGACTACATCAAACTAACAAACTTCTGCACAGAAAAAAACCCAACAAAATCAAAACAAAAACTACTCAATGGGGGAAAATAGTTGCAAATCATGTATCTGGTGAGAAGCTAACATTAAAAAATATAAAGAACTCAACAGCAAAAAGCAAAAAATCCACAAAACAATCCAACTAAAAAATGGCCAGTTCCGAAGACAGTTTTTCCAAGGAAGACATATGGATGGCCAATAGGTGTATGGAAAGATGCTCAAAGTCACTCAACACGAGGAAAATGCCGATCAAACCCACAATGAGCTGTCACCTCACACCTGTGAAAATTGCTACCACCATCAAGACAAGAAATAACAAGTGTTAGGATGTAACGAAAAGGGAACCTTGTGCACTGTTGGGAGAATGTAAATTGGTGCGACGACTATGGATAACAGCATAGAGGTTCATCGAAAAAGAAAAATTACCACATGAAGCAAACTTTCTCATGAGAAAATAGAAAACACTCTAAAAGAAAAATAAAGTGAGATATATTCCTTGTTCGTGATCAAAAGTCACCATAGTATTACGATGTCAATTCTTCCTAAACTGATCTAAAGATCCAGTACAATCCCAATAAAAACTCAGCAAGTTATTTTGCAGATATCAACAAACTAGTTCTAAGCAATGAGTAATCTACACAGTTCTGATGAAAAACAAGTTGGTGAACTCACGCTTCCCAATTTATTATAAAGCTACAATCAAGAAAGAATGATAGTTTAAAATGACCAGGCACAGCGACAAATGGAACAGAATAGAATCTATGAATAGACCTATGCAAATAGAGACAACTTGACTTTGGTCAAAGAAATAATGGCACTTCCACACAGAAAAGACAGTCTTTTAGTCTAGTCAGGACCAACAAATGACCACAAAGAAATAAATTAACAAAGACACAAACTTTGCACCTTACATATGAATCAACTCAAAATCATTCATTACCTTAAATATAAAATGCAAAACTATAAAAGTCATAGTGGGAAACTTAAGAGTTTGATAATCCAAAGGTTTACATGTAAAATATTCAAAGAACTGGTAAAACTCCACAATACGAAAACACACTCCCCAAATTAAAATAAATATGGCAATATGAGTAGATACCCTAATAAGTAACATGTAAATAAGCACATATAAATTGCACATTACTGAGCGAATACTGGAAAATTTTATGCATCATACATTAGGGAAAATCAAATTCAAAGTGCCAAGGAGATACCCAGCTAATCTGTTAAAGCGGCTGAACACCACCCTGACCGACGCGGCTCAGTGGGCGGGGCATATAGCTACGAAAGCAAACTCACTGGTGTGCGTCCTGGTCAGGGCACAGGCCTGAGTTTGGGACTCAGGCCCCGGTTGGGGCATAGACAGGAGGCAACCTGACTGATGTTTCACTTCCTCTTTTTCTCTTTCCCTTCCCCTCTCAATAAAATAATAAATAAAATCTTTTTAAAAATTGACAAAATGGCCAAATATCAAAGACTAACAACACCAGTTGCTAGTGAGGATATGAAACAACAGAAAATCTTATTCACTGCTGATGGGAACACAAATGGTAGACGCTTTTAAGGCATCTTGCCAGATTCTTGTGAAGTTAAGCAGAGTGTTACCGTATGATGCAGCAATGATGCCCCAGTGTGTTTAGCCAACTGGTGGGAAAAACATACATCCACATAAAAAGACCATTATGGATATAAAATATGTAAAAATATATAGCAGCTTTATTAACAATGGTCAAAACCTAGAATACAAGGTGTCCTTTAATAGCTGAATGACAACCTTAGTAACTCGTAGCAGGGAGGGACACGAGTTCTATACACGGACTGCAGGCCATGAGTTCAGACCGAGACTGGGGGAACAGTAAATGCAAACTCTAGGAGGAGATCCAAGATGGCGGAGGAGTTCAGTGGAAGCTCCACTAACCTCCTCCCAGGACCAGTCTGGAATCGCAACTAAATTGTTGAGAAATTATCCTTAATAACCGACTCAACACTAGCTGGAGAGAAGCCTTACACCAACGACAGAAAGAAGAAATCACTTCACCACAATGAAAGTGGTAGGGAATGGGGAGGAGGTGCAAGAGAGCTAGCTCCGCTCCCACAGGCAACAGCTGGAAGGGATACTCTTTCTGGAATGGATATTTCAGCAGTTGGGGGGTTTCCCCCGAGAAGTGTGTGGGGTCTAAACACCAAGCTGGGCTCCCCAGCCTATAGCACCAGTGCCAGAAAGGAATCCAGAACATCCAGCTGTGAAAAGCACAAGGTTTCTGTCTGCCAGAGAAAGGCAACTGGAGACTCAGAGAGCCTCTTAAAGGGCCAACACAAAAAAGTTCCTTTGTAGCCACTTACCCTGGACTCCAAGGCCACCATCATCCTAATTCCAAAACCAGATAAAAACACTACAAAGAAAGACATTATAGGCCAATAACTCTATGATAACCTTTTTGATGAAGAAAGATGCTAAAATGCTCAACAAAATATTAGCAAACCGAATACAGCAATTTATCAAAAAGATCATACATCATTATCAAGTGGGATTTATTCCAGGAATGCAAGGTTGGTACAACATTTGCAAATCAGTAAATGTGATTCACTACATAAACTAAAAGAAGGATAAGAACCACATGATCACACCGATATAGAAAAAGCATTTGATAAAATCCAATAAATATTTATGATAAATATTCTCAGCAAACTTGGATTAGAGGGAACATATCTAAACACAATAAAGGCTAAATATGACAAATCCGCTGCCAGCATCATACTCAATGGGCAAAAACTACAAGCATTCCCCTTAAAATTGAGAACAAGATAGGGATGTCCGCTTTCACCTCTCTTATTCAACACAGTACTAGAAGTCCCAGCCATAGCAATCAGATAAGAAGAAGAAATAAGAGGCATCCAAATTGGAAAGTAAGAAGTAAAACTGTCAGGATTTATAGATGACATGATACTGTACATAGAGAACCCCAAAGATTCCACTAAGAAACTAGTAGAACTGATAAATGAATTCAGCAAAGTGGCAGGATACAAAATAAATATCCAGAAATCAGTTGCATTTTTACAAACTAACAGAAAGGGAAATTAAGAAAAACAATCCCATTCACAATCGCTACAAAAAGAATAAAATACCTAGGAATAAACCTAACCAAGGATGTAAAAGACTTGTATCTGGATAACTGTAAGACAATGAAGAAAGAGACAGAAGATACAAATAAGTAGAAGCACAGACCATGTTCATGGAGGGAGAATTAACATCATTAAAATGTCCATACTACCCAAAGCAATCTATAGATTCAATGTGATTCCTATCAAGATTCTAATGATGTATCTCACATAGAACAAATATTTCAAAAATTTATTTGGAATCACAAAAGGCCCTCCATAGCAACACTACCCCTGAAAAAGAACAGAGTTGGAGGAATCACACTACCTAATATCAAACTATACTGCAAGGCAATAGTAAATAAAACAGCCTGGTACTGGCATAAAAAGACACATAGATCAATGGAACAGCATAGACAGCCTAGAAATAAGCCCACATCTTTATAGTCAATTAATATTCAACAGAGGAAGTAAGCACATACAATGGGCTAAAGACAGTTAATAAATGGTTTGAGGAAAATTGTACAGATACATGCAGAAAAATGAAGCTAGGCCAGCTTCTTACACCATACACAAGAATAAATTCAAAATGGATCAAAGACTTAAACTGTTAGACCTGAGACCATAAAAGTCATAGAAGAAAACTGGTGGCAAAATCTTGGATATTGAATACAGCAGTATTTTATTAAATATATCTCCTCAGTCAAGGGAAACAAAACAAAACAAAAAAACAAATGGCACTATATCAAACTAAAAAGTTTTTGCACACCAAGGGAAATCATCAACAAAATAAAAAGGCAACCCACAGAATGGGAGAACATATTAACCAACACAGCTGACAAGAGGTTAATATGCAAAATTTATAAAGAACTCACAAAACTCAACACCAAAAAAATAAACAATCCAATTAAAGAATGGGCAAAGGACCTGAGTAGATACTTCTCCAAAGAGGATACACAGATGGCCAATAGATATATGAAAAGATGTTCAACATCACTAATCATCAGAGAAATGCAAATTAAAACCACAATGAGATACCAGCTCACACCTGTTAGAATGACTGTCATCAATAAATCAACAAACAACCGTGCTGGTAAGGATGCGGACAAAGGGAAACCCTTTTGCACTGTTAGTGCAAATGCAGACTGGTATAGCCACTGCGGAAAGCAGTGTGGAGATACCTTAAAAAATTAAAAATTAATCTGCCTTTTGACCCACTGATCCCATATCTGGGAATATGTCCAAAAGAACCCAAAACACTAATTCAAAAGAACATAAGTACACCTATGCTTATTGCAGTATATTTACAACCACCAAGATATGGAAGCAGCCCAAGTGTCCATCAGTAGATGAGTGGGTAAAACAGTTGTGATATATATATATACACAATGGAATACTACCCAACCATAAAAAAGAAGAGAATTTTGAGACAGCATGAACGGACTTGGAGAACATTATGTTAGGTGAAATAAGCCAGTCAGAGAAAGACAAGTACCATATGATTTCCTCAGATGTGGAATCTAATGAACAAACTGAACTAACAAGGAAAATGTGGACAGACTCATAGATGGAGAGCAGGGTGACAGCTAGTGAGGGGCAGTTAGGGGATGGAGGGGTTGAACAAAAAGGAAAAAGGACTCGTGGACATGGACAACAGTGTGTTGATAGCTGGGGGAAGGGGTATGTAAGGGGACTAAATGGTAATGGAAAAAATACAATAAAGATTAAATTTAAAAAGAAATAAAGAAAACACTGATTATCTAGATGGACTGGAGTCAGCCTGGAATCACGTGTGTAAACACATATGTGCTGCTATGGGCTGAACACAATAAAGTGATCTTATAAATAAATAAATAGTAATACAGAATAAACTCTGTATTACTTGTGTTTCATGAACCTACTTTTGGCCCACCCTGTAAAAATAATAAAAATGCAAATCACAGGCATAAATAAATGGATATAGAGCAACATAGAGGAATCTTATAATACAGTAAATAACAAAGTAAAAAATGCAAGTTTATAAAAAGGAAAAACAACTAAAACAACCTTTAGTACACATGTGAACATATAACTATCAACAAACATTTCGTAAAAATTACTGTAAAAACATTGAAAAAGTTCCAGGACACTTCAAGACCTGTGGACTTCTGGACAATACAGCTGCTTCAAGTACTGGTCAAGGACTGCCTGTTTCTTCCAGGCTAGTGTTCAGTTTGCCTCCCTTTGCAGAAGCAAAGGCAAACGAGAAAGCTCTGTTCTCCTAAAGAGGTCCTTTTCCCTCAGGAAACAGCAGCATCTTCTGCATAGACGTACTTCCCAGATGCCACCAGGTGGTCCTGAATCTTTTCCTTCGTGTTTCTGTGCCCCAGGCTCTCCAAGGCGTCCAGCAGGGTGTTGACAGAGATGGCCCGCCCTGTCTTGTTGACCCACGTCACCAGCATTTCATAGACCTGCTCCTGAGGCTGCGATGCTTGGGCTTCGGCCACCTGCATCTCATTGCTGGTGAGGGCCATCCGCCGCATGAGAGGTTTCCAGGAATTAAAGGGCACGATCTCTATGAAGTAATCGAAGAACGGCCTCAAGCCTAGGTGGGGGAAAGCCACAGGGATAGTCTGGTGAGGTGGGACAGCCTGCAGAAAGGGTGGGTCTAGGCCGGAGCACTCCCTGCTGGTGACATGCCATTCTTTGTCACTCACTGGCGTCCCCTCAGCAGAGACTCAGGCTAAAAGGGCTGGGCCTCACCTAAGCCCATGGCAGTGCAAGCCCACCTGGGAGGGGAGGTGGGCTTCACGCAGAGACAGAACAGCATGTGGTAGGAGAGAGAGGGTGGGACAGGCTGTGGAGCAACAGGCCCTCAGAGGAGGGAACCTGCACTTATTCAGAGAATAAGGTCCCAGGGCTGCCACATCTGTGCCTGTGCTCAGAGCCAGGGCCTGGAGGCAGGAAGTTCTCCGGCTTCACACCCCACTGGGCCTCACCCACCAAACTGTGGCAGAGCGAGATGGGGACAAACAGACCCTGGGCAAGAATTTAACCCGTAACACAGAGCAACGCTCCCCCCGCCACCCCCGCCATGTCATGGGACTGTGCTAAGGAATAAATGAGACGTAAGGAGGCATTGCACACCACTGACCCACAGGAATATTCTCACATATTTTTCTAATAGCTTAACTAAAGAAAATGAAAAGGAACAGGTGATATTAATTTTAATAATATGGTACAAACTCAATACATACAAAATGTTATATTTATATACAACCAATAAAAATATTTTCAAAGGGATATTTTATATTCCTTTGGGTACTAATATATGAAATGTGATTTGTAGTTTATAATTACAGGTCTCCAAACCTGGCCACACACAGTCAGGTGCTCGGCAGTGTCCCTGGGCCAGTGGGTGCCCTGCTGCATGGCACAGCCCCTACGTGCCTTCCATGTGGTGAACCCCGCCCTGAACATCGAGGGGAGAGGGAGGGTGGTGGAGGGAGGGACAAGGGGTTGCAGGCCGTCATTGTGACGAGATGGGATGGTGTGGTGTGCAGTCGGAGCAGGGGGAGGGGACCGAGGGTCCTGATGGTCCAGTGGCAGTCAGCATGGCCCGCCGCCCCCCCATTTCCAGCATACCCAGCCGTGATAGCTATGGGGGCACTGCTCCACTGCCCCCGACAAAACACTCACTTTCTATGGGGTCTGCGCCATTTGCTGGAACCAGCAGCTCCCTTTTCCTCTGAGATCCCGTAGGTCCAGCTGGTCTCTATAAAATAGAGTGGAGGATGCTCTTGGTCTGGGTCCGGACTCCTGAACGCCAGACGTGAGCCTGACAACCAGCCAGCTGTGTGACCAGGGGCAGCCACCTCTCTTCCTGGGTCTCTATGAACATGAAGAGGAACCTTCTACCTTGTGCCCCTCACAAACTGTGTGCCTGTGTGCTCACAGAGGCCCACATCCCTGGGGCGATGCTCCCTCCTAAAGTGTCTGCTCCCATCGCGACCACTGCATACACCTGAGTAACCATCGTCCAAACAAGACATGAGACATTCCCACCACCTCGCCCAGCTCCCTCCTGCCCCCTCCTGCCCCATTCCCATCCTCCCCGTCACCAGACAGTTACTCCCTCCCAGGCGTCCCTGTGACTCAAATGAAGAATGTACGTGCGCACATTTCACAAAGTCTAATAAGGAAGGATTTCTCTGACGAGTCAGGAGAGGCTTCGATCAGTAATAATGTGCGTTATCGATAATCTAAATAAGGAAGTAGAAGTATTAGCTTGTCCCCATGGAGGCTAAAAAATGATTCTGTAAAATCATTGACATGATTTCTGCATCCACAATAGTAGTATTTTCCCGTATGAAAACAAAAGTCAACACCATTCCTTTGGGTGAACTAGTGAAGGCTTCCCAATGAAATCAAATCAGGATCAAAGCACATGCCTTCTCTATGCACCTTTGGACACTGTGAGCTCTGGACGGTGAAGCCAAACTCAAGCAGAAAAGGAGGCAGGGCTGGGGGAAGGGGGCAGAAATAATTATCATTATCTTCGATATGATTATATATTTAGACACCCTAAGGTGTAGATTACAATACTTAAAAGTAAATGCATGTCTTGGTGAATGCTAATAAACACAGTAGAAACAGTTAGAAAATGAAATTGTAGCAGTATCCAACCAGTGAGGGTAACAAAAATATAAAATACAAAGAAATTGCTTTAACCAGAAATAAGAATTATTTATCAAAAGAAAGACATAAATCTTCACTGAGTTGTAATAAAACCCCTGACCTGAAATGCTATCTTCTTTGATTAAAAAAAAAAAATAGTGAAGATTGTAACATCTCAACTAGTTCTTCTTGGGTTAATGTAAGGTAATATAAAAACAACTTCCAGTGACTTTTTGGGGAGTAGAGAATATCTTATAAAATAGTTCTAAATTTTACCTGGGTAGAAATCATAAATTTGGCAAGGTAAGAAAGAGGTATGTGCACTCTCAGATATTAAAACGTGTTGAAAAGATTCCTTCGGTAGAGCGTTGTGCACAGACGGCACACGCACAAAGATTCCAGGAGAGTCCCGGTCGGCTCTCCTCTTTCCCGGACAAGCAACAGGGAGGGAGGGACCTTTTTCTCACTGTGGGGAGGTACTAACTCCCTTAAAAAACATGAGAAGTGTTCATCAGGATCGAAGGATTATTGGCCTTTTAGTTAGTTTGTTTCCTTTTATACTTTCTCTTTATTTAAAAAGAACAGTGATACAGATACAAGAAAGAAATAGGAAAGGATGCTGGAGGCAGAAAGAGGTCCAGGTCTTTGTAAACAGTTCACACTTGATAAAGGAGGAGCCAGGCGCAGAGGGAAATGAGAGTTGGACGTGACATGGGATTGGAGGAAAGAGACTCATGTGAAATCCCGTCACAGAATCAACCCCATTTAGATAATATTGCTATGTGGTAACAATCACCACAAATAAAACAACTCTAACAAATTAGGAAATTTCACCTTACGTTAAGGGGAATGACTTTCTAAGTCTATGAGGAATAGAAAATCGAATGCTTACCGCTCAGTGTCATAGTAAACAGGTGAACTGGTTGTGCACCAAAGCTGGGCACAGGTGTGTGCATAAGGCTAAAAAACACTCCTACACCTGGGCCCAGAAATTCTCCTTCTAAAAGCCACTGTCCAAATATGCTCAGATATTTATAGACCAAACTCTGGTTCCACATAGGTTCCATGTAATAATAATAATTTTGTAGTAACTCTGGCATTCCTATTGTTACGGGAAATGGCTTATTAAATTAGGTTACGACTCACAGCAGACTATCTGCAGCCTCCATTCAATGGAGCACCCATCCTGTGCATGCCTGTTCCACACTCTGGGGGTGCAGTGACGAATGAACAGATGAGAAGATGCTGACCTTCCACAGAGCCGACAAGCTGCACATCAGGGTGGCAGGTCCCCATCTCCCTCTGCACCCCTTCCCCAGGGGACGGCAGACCTGACCAACATTGACCTTTCCCTATTTCTAACACAGTCCTGGGTGAGCAGAAAGGCCACCACTACTCACCAGCAGACACTCTGCTTCTCCTGGGGACTGTTCTGTGACACCTGCCAGCTGTGCCTGCTTCTGGTGCTCCAGTTCCTCCTGAGAGGTGGGCGTGGAAAGCGAGTATCTGCCGCTGCGGATGGTGTTGAGGGCATTGTCCTGAGCCTCGGGCCCCCTTGGAGCACATGAGTACCACTGAAAGACCTGGGGAAGGCAAAGAGGAATGTGGCCCAGGTTCCCTAAGAGGTCTCAGGGACACGGGAGGTTCTGCCCCCCTCCCCACCACCCTTCAAAGGCTTGGCACCACCTGGACCTTGCTGTCAGCCCCGGACACTGGTGCTGTGCTGAGGGGCGTGGCACACCTGCCTGACACCGCTACGCCTGAGGGCAGGGCTGTGGGTGCCATGTCACAAGCAGCAGTTAGGACGGGGCTACCTGGCCTGGGGGCTGCTCCTCTGAGAGCCAGGGACAGCAGCACAGAACAAATTAAGGCCATGCCCATTCAGGGCCTCATTTTGGGCAAGAAGCAGTTTCTGAGGGCCTGATGTCACCAGGTCCTAGAGAAACCAACTCACTCTGTTTATGCAGCTGGAGTCCACCCCACAACCTAGAAGAGAAGGGACACTGCATTAGTGGTGGGCGGGCCCTCTCTGCAGGATATCCCTGCAGGGACAGTGCAGGGGACAAGGTATGGGCTGGGGGTGCAGGCACTGCACAAGGTGCCTTGGCTCTGGTGACAGGGAAGGGCAATCCAACTCTGCAGCACCCTCAGGGAGGGGAAGAATAGAGGGAAAGAAGTAAAAAAAAAAACCCAACCACATACACACGCATATCAAATCTCTGTTGGATTCTTCTCTGATCAAAGCTGTAAAAAAGCCCTGGCCCTCTCCTCCTGACTATTGTCACCCAACTGGCGCACTGACTGCCTCTCTGCCTTGGCTGGGGGCCTGCCTCTCAGACTTGGCCGGGAGAGGAGGTGGCCGTCAGCCCCAAGAACAGAGGATGAAGGTGATCCCAGCCCTGCAGAGGTGCAGGTGAGGTGGGAAATAGCGGGTAGGCCCACAGAACACCAGCAGAGCCAGGCCAGAGAGACCCAGCAGATGTGGGAGATGGAGGGGAGGGCCTTGCTGTCCAGAGAATTGAGGCAGGAAGCGAGGGAGGCAGCAGAGAGCACAGCATGTGCCCACCACCCCTGCCAACCTCACCTTGAAAGGCAGTGATCCGGTGACGACACAGCCATGCAAGCAGCAGCAGCAGCAGCAGCAGGAAGACAGCCCCAACAGTGACGACTGTAATTATGATTCCCAGCTGTGAGGTGCCTGAGGAGGGAGAGGGAGTGACAGGCGGCTCCAGGCTGGTGGTGGCTCCAGGTACCAGGGTCTTCCCACTGGCCTGTGTACCTGATTCTTGGTCCACACACTCAAGGTCGTTCCAGGGGGTGCAGGGTCTGGCCTCAACCTTGCCAGCAGGGCACCTGGGTTCAGACACAGGGAGAACGTCAAGAGGTTCTGTGAGGTAAGGGGAAGAGAAAGAGGAAGCAGCCCCCCAGCCAGTGTCCCCTGACTGGAGAGTGGACAAAGAAGGGGCTTCTGTGGTCTGCAAGACGGGTCCCCTCACCCCCTTGCTGGGTTAGGGAAGAAGCTGAGCTTGGCCCTTCCGCCCTTAGGGCTCCTGCTGAGTGTTCGGAACTGCAACCTCAGGAGCTGGCCCTTCTCCTCCAGGCCTGCACTGAGCTGCCCCGGCTACAGCGGGAGCCTGAGTGAGGGGGCATCTCACTGCAGGTCAAGGGTCAGAAGTTTTTTGGGCACAAGCTGAGCCTCATACTCCCGTCAACGTTTCATACAAGGAATCTCTTGTACTCCGCCTGCTGACTGTCCCTGCCAATCACAGCCGCACTGGAAGTCAGAGAAAAGCAAATTGCTACTGGCCCCTAATAACAGGGAAAAGACTGCTTTGTCCAGAGAACAGGGCCCTGGGGGAAGGCAGGCTGAGCTGGCTCCGGGTTTTTGGGAAGCTACTGGCTCAATCTGGTTATGACTCGGCTGTGCACCCTCTGTGCTCATAGGCCATGCCTGCACAAAAACATTAGAAAGAATATTTTAGAGTTGAACTGTTATAAAGATGATTATAAGCATGGCTGTATTCTACTCAATTCTTTCCTTCTGATAGCAATAGGAACTGACTTTGCATGGGCCACAGACACGACCATGGGCCCTAATTAGTGGCCCACTGTGCCCAGTGGGAAGGTGGGCCAGGCACGGTGAGGGAGTGTCTTACCCAGGACTGCACTTCTGGCATAATTCAGGAGAATTCTCATCCTGGAACGTGCCGAGTTTGCAGCGACACTGGGTGTCCATGGTCCTGGTGCACAGAGCTATTATTTCTTTATCTGAAGACAAAGGGTGCCGTCGTGGGGATTTGGTTCCTTCATGCATCCCTCGCCCTTTTTCACCCCCCAGGCCCCCACCTGCCCAGCTTCACTCAGTGTCTGCAGCAACATGTGTGAGGCACTTGTCCCCAGTGGCCAGGGGAGTATAAAAAAGGCCAGGACTCGTTATTACGTCAGGATTGGGAGGAACTATCTCTCAGTTCACAGGATGATTAAGAGGATGTGGTATAATCTGAGAGACCCTGGACGGAGAGGAACCCTTGGGTGATTTCCGAAAACCTAACCCTGTGGCAGCCTTAGGCCGTGAAGGCTGAGGGAGGCAGAGCACTGGCCAGAAGTGCCCCGCACAGGCTAAGAGGGGCCAGGCCCCAGCTCCGGACCAGCACTTTTTCACTCTGCCACACCTTTTATGTTGTGTAACCATGTAGTCCCCTCATCAAGGGGCAGATTACTGTCCCACTACTTTCATCCGACGGTTTAGAGGAAGTACCTATTGTATGTCATGCATTATAAAAATAATGTCTGTTTACATTTTATTCTCTTGACCTAAGTCATATCATAAGAAAAGGTATGATGAAGCCCTGGCCAGTATGGCTCAGTTGGTTGGAGTGTTGTCCTGTAAACCACAAAGTCACGGGTTCAATTCCTGGCCAGGGCACACACCCAGGTTGCAGGTTCGGCCCCCAGTTGGGGTGTGTACAAGAGGCAACCAATCAATATTTCTCTCCCACTCTCTCCCTTTCCCTTCTCCTCTCTCTAAAATCAATAAGCATGTCCTCAGGCGAGGATAAAAAAAAAAAAGGTATGATGAAGACCAGGCTGGGCTGGAAACCAGGCTCCTGACCCCCTGTGTGACAGTCCCACGTCACTGACTAGCACCCTCACTACAGCACGCAGGCCGCATGTTCTCTACCTTGGAAGCACTCAGAACAGAGCTGGCAAGCAGGGAGGCTGTTCGAATGATTGGTGAAATCCTTTCCAGCTGTGCAAGGCATACACGTGCCACTGTGCTCTGACAGATAGAACCCTGTGAACGGAGGGAAAGCTGGTCATCCCCATGGGACTCCCAGAGGCCGGCAGTGGTGGCTGAGGGACACCTCTTTCAGCCATCAGTGGAATCCAAACAAGGAAATCCATTTGACTTGGCCTCAGTCTTTTCCCCATTTCTGCACCTACAACATACCTTAGACCAGAACTGCCAACAGAAATGTATTATAAGCCACACATGAAATTCAAATTCACAGTTGCCACTTAAAAAAAGTAAAAAGAAAGAGGCCCAAATTAATTATAACTATGTAATTTTTAACCTAAAATATCCAACATAGTAGCATGATTTCAACATGTAATCAATATCAAACATTGAGATAGTTGAGCTTCTTGAATACCTCATCAAAAAATGACACCCTGGTGACCTCTTTCTCCCACACCCAGCTGCCCCTCGCTTTGCTCCAACAAGCTCAACCCCTGCCCCCTGGGGCCACAGTTCCTGGGGACCCTCTCAGACCCCTCTACCTGGCTTTTCTGCATCAGACTCACGGTCCCTGGGATGCCTCCCTAGCCCAGACTCTGTCCCACACATCACTTAGTCATCCTCAGGGCTCCTATCTCATCTATCTGTCCCGTCCATCTGTCTGTCTGGATACCATCTCAGGGGAGCTCCAGGAGGGCAGGGCCTCGCGCCCTTCCCTAGCACAGTGCCTGGCACACAGAAGGCACCTAATAAATACCTGTGGATGAAGAACCAGAAACTTCGGAAATCAGAGGGATGGGAGGACATGGGACAAGTGGGATAAGGGCTGGAGGTCAGTTTTCAGATGTACCTGGCTGACACTTCTGCGAGGAGTTCCATCTGGCATCCAGTTTGGCAATGTAGTTAACGGGAAGGCAGCTGACATCTGTGGGGACAAAGCAGGGACAGGCATGAGTGGCTTCCCAGCTCTCCTCCCTCCCAGGACCCCTCTCATGTTCTCCTCGCCCCAGCTGCCAAAAGCAAAAAGAATTGGGACCGTCCTTCCAGCTCTACCCTCTCCTTCTTCTGTTTTGCATTTGTCCCTTAGCCGGGGGGACTGGCAAGTAACTTATGCTTGAAAGAGTTGCTGGTATTCTTTTCTCTTACACTAAAACAAAATATATTAATTCCACATGTGCAAACAAAATTAATCGTAAAATTGTAAGAACCATTTCAACCATAACAGTAACCCCCCTAAAACAATTCAATGGCAGAAATGGTTAGTATGGATGAAGAACAAGACCCGGTTACACACTGCCTATTAGAGGTGTCATTTAAAAAGACACAGGTCTGCCCTGGCTGGTGTAGCTCAGTGGATTGAGCACGGGCCTGCGAACCAGACAATCGCAGTTCGATTCCCAGTCAGGGCACATGCTGGGGTTGCAGGCCGGTTCCCTGCAGGCCACTTCCCAGCAGGGGATGCATGAAAGGCAACCATACATTGATATTTCTCTCCCTCTCTCCTTCCCTTCCCCTCTAAAGATAAATAAATAAAATCTTAAAAAAAAAAAAAAAAAGACACAGGTCTACTGGATGCAAAGAAATGGAAAAAAGATATACCAGACAAATAGCAAGCCTAAGGAAACTGCCGTGGCTATGATAATATCAGACGGAGTTGGTTTAAGACAAACAGTATTACCACAGATAAAGAGGGACCTTTTGTTTTGTTACAAGGGTTAATTTGTCAGCGTCGTAATAATTATAAATGTGTATGTGCCCAATGATAAAGCTTCAAAACACATGAAGCAAAAATGGAAAGAATTCAAACGAATTTATTACACCCTTTTCTCAACAACTAATGAAATGATCTGATGAGAACTGTAAAGTCATAAAAGATGTGAACACTACCGACCACCTTAGCTGACACTCCCGGAGCAGATGTGCCACATCTGCAGAAGACACGCCCTTCTTCCGGTGAACGCACTACTTCACGAGTCCAAATAGACATAAAAGAAGCAAAATTATATCATGCACATTCTCAGATCTCAATGATATAACACATTGGAAACAAATAACAGCATCTACAAAGACCTGCAATGTAACTAAAACTCCAATGAAATGCCACTTCACACTACTATAATAAAGAAGAGGAAAGGAAAGAAAGAGATAAGTGTTGGCAAGGATAGAGAGAGAAATTGGAAAACTTGTACACTGTTGATGGGAATGTAAAAGGATGCCGCTGCCGTGGAAAACGCTAGGGTGGTTTCTCAACAAAATTAAACACAGGATCACCACGTGACACAGCAATTGCACTTCTGGGCATATGAACAAAAGAACCGAAAGCAGGGACTCAAAAGACCTGTGCACACCCACATTCACGGCAGCATTATTCACAACAGCCGAAAGGCACAAGTGACGGACGTATGTATCGATGGATGACCAGGTAAACAAAACCTGGTATACTTACACAATGAATTCCTTAAAAAGGAAGGAAATTCTGACCCGTGGTACAACATGGATGAAGCTAAAGGACATTATGCTAAATGAAGCAAGCCAATCCCCCAAAAGACAAATACTCTATGATTCCACTTAAGCGAGGCTCCTAGGGTATTCAAATTAATAGACAGTAGGTAGAATGGGAGTTTCCAGGGGCTGGGTTGAAAGGAGGGAATTGAAAGTTGTCATTCAATGGATATACGCTTCCCATTTTTGCAAAATGAAAGTATTCTTGAGATTGTTGTATGACAATGTGAATGTAGTGAACCCTTCTTAACTGTGAGATAAAAAATAGCTAAGATGGTAAATTTTATGTGCTGTATATTTTACCACAATGTTTGAAAAATGTAAAGGTGCCCTGCAAACTGTTCCTAATGAAACTTGTCAATGTCCCACTAATTACCAAAGTCATAGAAAGGTGACAGTCCAGTGATTTATTTGCTCACAGTTTTCGAGCTATAAATGACATAAGAAGAACTGAAGAAATCTGAATGAAGTTTGAGAATGAGTAGTAAAATGTCGATTTTACAGTTCTGATTTGGAGGTTGTGCTGTGTTACGGGAAGAGTTCCCGTTTGTGGAGAGTACACACTAAAGTGTTCTAGAATGTTCTTTGTCAAGTTAGCATGCACTTTCCAGATGGCTCGGGAAGTTTTTTGGATCGTTTCTGCAACTTTTCTGTAATTTTGAGAGTGTTTTAAAATAAAAAGTTAAACTAAGAAGAAAAGTCAGAATAAAAACATTGCTGAGCTCAGTTCAACCGAATGTATCTAAACGAGATAAAACGCAGCCGTCTCCTGCCTCAGAGCCTGCCAAGTATTTGATGACAGCTGATCTCACATGTGTCCTTTGGTCCTTCCTTTCCCAGGTGGGGCCTTCTCTGAGGAACAGTCTCCGTTCTCTGCTTCCACAGTGCTTCTCCCTCCTGTGTTTATTGGCTCTGTCTCTCACTGATTCTTTTCCCATCATTTTATTATGAAAATTTTTTGTCAGTAACATTTACAGACTTGTGCAATGAACATCACAGTGAAATGCACATTTCTTAAGTGTAGCAGTTTATTAATTCATACACACGTGTAACCCATGTCCCCTCAGGCCATGGCACACAGCACGACCACGACACATGGCCTTGCCCCCTCTCTCAGGCAGTCCTAATCGGCAACACTGGCCCACGAGGGGATGGTTTTTCCAACACGGGATGAGTCTACCATGGATGGCGAGCCTTTTCTATGAGTGACAGTGGAATCAGGTGGTTGTAGTGCTCAGATGATGACTTTACTGAGTTGTATTCATCTAATCATTTCTATCAATTGCTGAGGAAGGATTGTTATACTCTGCATTTAATCCTGCAGATTTTTGCTTCATGTATTTTGAAGTTCTATCAGTAGGCATATGCACATTGATAATTACTTTGACTGCTTGATAAATTAATCCTTTAACACTACAGAAGGTCTCTACCTCTGCCAATATTGTCTTAAATCAACTTCATCTGATACTAGGTTAGCTGTAGCATTTTTTTAGGCTTACTATTTGGATATTATATCTTTTTTCCATCCATTCACTTTCAACGCACCTGTCCAGCTTTTAAACTGTGTCTCTAGGAGACACTATACACAGTAGTTGGGTTTTGCTTCTTCATTAATTCCAACCATCTCTGCTTTTGAATTAATACTGACTTGGAGTTAATGTGATTACTGAAAAGGTTGAAGTAGACCTAGAAAGAAATTTTACCATGTATTTCTTGTTTCTCTAGTCTATTTTTTTTCTTGTTGCTCACTCCTTTCCCTGCAGACTTTATCATTAATGAAATATTTTTTTAGAATTCCATTTTAATTGCGTGTCTGCTTTTTGTGCATATATGTTTGCATTATTTTTTAGTAGTTCCTATAGGAATTGCATTATATACTTTTAACTGTTTACAGTCTATTTAAAGTTTTTAAACATGGTTTGAGGTATAATTTACACAATAAGCGATGTAATTAAGGAACAAAATTTGATAAAATTTAACACACGTATTCATTTTTGAAAATTTTACCACCACTGGACATCATGACTGTGTCACCCCAAAGTAGCTTCTTTATTTTTTTTTAAAGATTTTATTTATTTATTTTCAGAGAGAGGGTAAGGCAGAAAGACATCGATGTGTGAGGTACTTCCATCTGTTGATGCCTCTCCTGCGCCCCCTACTGGGGACCTGGCCTGAAACCCAGGCATGTGCCCTAAGTGGGAATCTGGGAATCAAACCGTTAGCAATCCCCAGCTCAATCCACTGAACCACCCCAGTCAGGGCCCAAAATAGCTTCCTTTTGTCTCCTTTGCCCTGACCTTTCTGGCCCCAGGCCACTACTTTTAAGATCTGCTTTCTGATATCAGAGATTACTTTGTCCTTTCTAGAGTTATACAAACAGAACCAGACAGTATCTGCTCTTCTCTGCCTGGCTTCTTTCACTCAGAGCAATCATCTGGAAATTCACTTATGTCGTCATGAGCACAGTGCTTTACTCCTCTTCCTGACTGAGCTGTAAGGCTGAATCCACAGTGTGATAATAAGGGAAGGGAAACCAAAGAAACAGTAAACAAACAGGACTGCATCAAACTAATAAGTCTGTGCGCAGCAAAGGAAACCATCAGCAAAATGAAAAGAAAACCCACGGAATGGGAGAACATGTTCACCAATGACACATCCTGTAAGGGGTTAATATCCAAAATTTATGAAGAGCCCACAAAACTCAGCACCAAAAAAAAAACACCCCCAAAATCAATCCCATTAAAAATGGGATCTGAAGAGGCACTTTTCCAAAGAGGACATACAGATGGCCAACAGACACATGAAAAGATGCTCAGCATCACAAATCATCAGAAAAATGCAAATTAAAACCACAATGAGCTATCACCTCACCCCTGTCAGAAGGGCTGTCATCATAAACCAACAAACAAGTGCTGGCGAGAATGTGGAGAAAAGAGAACCCTAGTACATTGTTGGTGGGAGTGTAGACTGGTACAACCACTGTAAAAAACAGTACGGAGTTACCTCAAAAGATTAAAAATGGAACTGCCTTATGACCCAGCAATTCTACTTCTGGGAATATAGCTGAAGAAGCCTGAAACACGAATTCAAAAGACTATAAACACCCCTATGTTCATTGCAGCATTATTTACAATAGCCAAGATTTGGAAGCAGCCGAAGTGTCCATCACTAGATGAGTGGATAAAAAAGCTGTGGTCCATTTACACAATGGCATACTGCTCAGCCATAAAAAGAAGAGAATTTTACCGTTTTGAAACAGTATAGATGGACCTGGACAACATTAGGCTAAATGAAATAAGCCAGTCAGAGAAAGATACATACCATATGACTTCATTCATATGTGGGATCTAATGAACAAACTGAACTAACAAGGAAAATAGAGACAGACACACAGATGGAGAGCAGGCTGACAGCTCTGGGGAG